ACTCACCCAGAATAACTTTGCTACTCCCAGGAGAGTGAGGCATGATTCCTACGGGGCCCACAGAATGTGCCTTTGGCTTGAATTCAGGGAGGAAGTCAAAGAATGGAGGGCAAATTGAGTGTTCTATGCTCAGAGACTCTATAGCCTGTTCATTCAGTGGCTCTGCTGTCTCCTCCATAGTCTCTCTGATTATTGGTGCTGGGATCCCATCAAAACAGTCAGGGAGCTGGCTATCCATGGTGCTTGGCACAACCCCCGACTCTGGGGCATGAGCCCTGGGAACAAGCCAGCTCCACCAGCTGGGCTGTGCTTGTTGACTGTGCTGCTGGCCAGAACCCCACCCCTGACCTTAAAGGACTTCAAACCCCAGGCCTTTATCATCAGACTGAGGGTGTGGTCAAGAGCTGGGCTTGGCTGTGTGAATGGTTACAGTTTTGTCTTACTGAGAAGAGAATTAGAAAAGAAACTTTTTTTTGAGATAGGGTCTTGCTTTGTTGCCCAGGCTGGAGTGCAGTGGTGTGACCATAGCTCACTGCAGCCTTTAATTCCTGGGTTCAAGTGATCCTCCCACCTCAGCCTCCTGAGTAGTTGGGACCACAGGCATGCACCACCACACCCGGCTAATTTTTAATTTTTTTTTTTTTTTTTTGATAGAGACAGATGTTGCCCAGTTTGGTCTCAAACTCCCGGGCTAAAGCGATCCTCCTACCTTAGCTTCTCAAAGTGCTGGGATTACAAGCCATCACACCCAGACAGAAGAGGTTTTTTTTTTTTTTGAGACAGGGTCTCGCTTTGTCACCCAGGCTGGAGTGCAGTGGTGCGATCTCAACTCACTACAATCCCCGCCTCCCATGCTCAAGCGATCCTTCCACCTCAGCTGCCTTTGTAGTTGGGATTACAGGTGCGCATCACACCCAGCTAATTTTTGAATTTTTAGTACAGACGAGGTTTCACCATGTTGCCCAGGCTGGCTTAGAACTCCTGGGCTCAAGCAGTGCACACACTTTAGCCTCCCAAAGGGCTGACATTACAGGCATGAGCCACCATGCCCAGAAGAGAATTTTTTTTTTTTTTTTTTTTGAGATAGGGTCTCATTCTGTTGCCCAGACTGGAGTGTAGTGGCAAAATCTCTGCTCACTGCATCCTCCACCTCCTGGCTTCAAGCAATTCTCCTGCCTCAGCCTCCCAAGTAGCTGGGATTACAGGTACTTGCTAATACACCTGGCTAATTTTTGTGTTTTTAGCTGGGATTACAGGTACTTGCTAATACACCTGGCTAATTTTTGTGTTTTCAGTAGAGACTAAAATAGTGTAGTGTGGGCGTGTGTGTGTGTGTGTGTGTGTGTGTGTGTGTGTAGAAATGGGTTTCACCATGTTGGTGAGGCTGGTCTTGAACTCCTAACCCTTGACCTGCCCGCCTCAGCCTCCCAGAGTGCTGGGATTACAGCATGAGTCACTGCACCCGGCCTCAGAAGATTATTATTATTTTTTTTTTTTGAGACAGTCTCACTCTGTCGCCAGGAGCCAGGCTGGAGTGCAGTGGCACAATCTCGGCTCACTGCAACCTCCACCTCCTAGGTTCAAGCAATTCTTCCGCCTCAGCCTCCCAAGTAGCTGGGACTACAGGCGCACGCCACCACGCCCAGCTAATTTTTGTATTTTTAGTAGAGACAGGGTTTCACCATGTTGGCCAGATGGTCTCGATCTCTTGACCTTGTGATCCGCCCGCCTCGGCCTCCCAAAGTGCTGGGATTACAGGCTTGAGCCACCGCGCCCGGCCCAGAAGATAATTTTTTAAATCGGCATTTTCTTCCCTTTCTCCCCCTCACTTCCACCCATCTCTCTTTGTCTGTAACAAAATAAAGCAGTAGAACAGCCGTAGGGGAGGGGTTTGTGTTTGTTCACTACTGTATCCCCAGCACTTAGAGCAATGGCTGCTCCACACTGTATGTTGAATGATTGAATGGATGAATGGATGAGTGAATGAATACCCACAGCGAGTCAGATGAGAGGTGAGCCAAGGTTATCATGTGTGCATATGTGGCAGGTGGGGGTGGGTGGTATGCGGTGTGTGTGTGCGGGGTGTGTATGTATGGTGTGTGTGGGCTGTATGTGTGTATGTGTGGTGTGTCGGTGTGTGGGTGTGTGTGTGTGTGTTGTGTGGTGGGTGTGTGTGGGGGGTGTATGTGTGGTGTGTGGGTGTGTGGTGTATGGGTGTGGTGGGGTGGATGTATGTGTACATATGTGTGTGTGAGGGGTGGCCTCTGTGTGTGTGGTATGTATGTGAGTATGTGTGTGGGGTGTGTGGTATGTGTGTGGGGTGTATGTGTATGTGATGGGGGTGTGGGTGTACCTGTGTGGTGTGTGTATGATGTGTGTGTGGTGTGTGTATGCATGTGTATGTTTGTGGGGGTGGGGGGCATGTAGGGGTTGGGGTGTATCTGGGGGTTAGTGTGTGTGTATGTATGTGTGTATGGTGTGTGTGTGGTATATGCGCATGGGGAGTGGGGATGTGGGTGTATATATGTACAGTGTGTGGGTGGGATGTGTGTGTGCAGTGGGGGGCAGGTGAGGTGTGTTGTGTGTGTACATGTGGGGGGCATTTGTGGGTGGTGTGTATATATGCATGGGGGTGTGGGGTGTGGGTGTATAGTGGGGGCATGTGGCGGTGTGGGGTGTGTATATGTGGGGAGTGTGTGTATGTGTGTGGGGGTAAGGTGTGGGTGTGTATGTCTGTGGGGTGTGTGTGTACATGTGGGGGGAAGTGTGGGGATGTAGCGTGTGTGTATGTGTTTGTGGTGCATGTGTGCATGTGTGTGAGGGGTGGGAGGTGGGATGTGGGTGTGTATGTGTGTGGGGGGTGTGTCCTGGGTGTGTGTGTGAGGGTGTGGGATGTGTAGTATGTGTGTACATGTGGGTGTGTATATAGTGTGTGCATGTGTGTGTAGTGTGTGCATGTGTGTAGTGTATAGTGTGTGTGCATGTATGTAGTGTGTGTGTGTTTGTGGTGTGTGTATGTATGCATATGTGTGGGGGGGGTGGGATGTGTAGTATGTGCGTACATGCGGGGGGGTGTGTAGTATGTTCATATGTGTGTAGTGTGCATGTGTGTAGTGTATTGTGTGGGTGTGCATATGTGTAGTGCATGCATGTGTGTGTATGTGTGTAGTACATGTGTATGTATTGTTTGTGTGTGTGTGTATGTGTGCGTGTGTGTGTGTGGTGTGTTTTTGCTTTTCACTAGGGCTCCTTGCAGGTGCTGCTCTGCAGAGATTCACTTCATCCTGTCTGGGGACCCGACAAAGCAGATATGATCATTATTTCTCTCCCTGTCTGGCCTCCTCACTTACCTCGCTGAAAACATCCTCTTTAGGCTGAGCACAGTGGCTCATACCTACAAACCCAGCATTTTGGGAGGCCAAGGAGGAGGATCGCTTGAGCCCAGGAGTTTGAGACCAGTTTGGACAATATAATGAGACCTTGTCTCTACAAACAAATTAAAAAAAAAAAAAAAGCCAGGCATGATGGTATGCACCTGTAGTCCCAGCTACTTGGGAGGCTGAGGTGGGAGGATCACTTGAGCCCAGGAGGTTGAGGTCGCAGTGAGCTATAACGGCACCACAGCACTCCAGCCAGGGCAAGAAAGCGAAACCCTGTCTCAAAAAAAAAAAAAAAAAAAAAAAAAAAAAAAAAAAAAAAAAGATTCTCTGTAGATTTAGATCCAGTGGGATAGTGCTCAGCTTGTCACTGGAGGGCCGAGCATGAACCTGTGTCCCCTGTGAAAGGGGGCTCTCCATCAGAGGAGAAGGAAGAAGGTCCTTCCGTGACAAGTCAGAGAGCAGCGTCCCAAGCTGCCTCCAACAGCAGATTCACCTCTACAGCTAGACATGGTCATAATTAATCCTGGCAAACACTGCAAGGGAGTGTGATTGTCCTCATTTTAGAGATGAGGAAACTGAAGATCATTGGAATGAATCTGAAAAGTGGCAACAGGTAGATTCAAAAATGAGGTCTGTAGATTTTAAGTGCACAGCTCTTCCCATGTCTGACTCCTGCTCTTCATTACAAATGAATTTCCTCGTCATTAAAGATTGAAAGGAATTTGTTAAATAACTAAAATTGTCCTTCTTTTTCTCTTTGATTTTCTGGTAGTTTATGTTTGACATAGTGCAAGAGCTAATTTGCTATAGTTGGCAAATGCCACCATGTGACGGGAATGTCACAAGAGCAATTCAAACATTAGCTGTAGTAGCTGCAGAGAAGCTGTTAGAGAAGTAGGCTTCAGCTTCTTTCTTTTCCATTCTTTGTTTGTTTGTTTGTTTGTTTTTGTTTTTGAGAGGGACTTTTGCTCTTGTCGCCCAGGCTGGAGTGCAGTGGCGTGATCTCAGCTCACCACAACCTCCTCCTCCTAGGTTCAAGCAATTATCCTGTCTCAGCCTCCCGAGTAGCTGGGATTACAGGCATGTGCCACCACACTCGGCTAATTTTGTATGTTTAGTAGAGACAGGTTTCTCTATGTTGGTCAGGCTGGTCTTGAACTCCTGACCTCAGGTGATCCGCCTGCCTCGGCCTCCCAAAGTGCTGAGATTACAGGTGTGAGCCACCGTGCCCAGCCAGTTTCACTTCTTTCTGATCCAGTGGTTCTCAAATGGGGGCACTTCCCCGCCAGGGGACACTTAGCGATGTCTGAAGACATTTGGGTTGTCACAGCTGGGGAGAGGGTTGCTACTGGAATCTAGCAGGTGGAGGATGCTGTAAACATCCTGCTGTGCTCAGCACAGCCCAATAACAAAGAAATATTGGACCCCCATTGTCAGAAGTGCCGTGGTTGAGAAAGCCTGTTGTAACTCAAGGTGTGTTGAGGGTAGGTTTCAAGGTATTCAAGTCGTTTCAAGACCACGGATCTTCAGATTCTGTTACATCTTTCTATGAACTGAAGTAAAGCGGGAGGGCCCTGGAACCCTGGAGCTGCTTCCTGACCTAAGCCGTGATCTCTGCAGAGGCTGACACTTGTGCTTGCCCTGGCAACCCTGATAGCTGCCTTTGGGTCGTCCTTCCAGTATGGGTACAACGTGGCTGCTGTCAACTCCCCAGCAATGGTAGGTCACTTTGGTGAGCAAGATGTGGGGAGGGTGTTTGGAGCAGCTTGTTGCCTGGGTGGGACTGGCCAGGGAGGGGCTGCTCATACAGTGGGTCTTCAAGCAAAGGGAGAGGGAAACACCCTTGGGACACAGCACAGATCTGAGGGAACTCTCAGACACGGGGCCCTTGGGATGGGCCAGGTCTGGCTGGACACACAGTGGGCGGGGCTCCAGGACGGGGCTCAGATCTTCTGTGGCCTTGTGGTTTAGAGGGAATCCGGAGGGGCCGGGGGTCTCCTTTCTTGCTGAGAAATACCCAGGGTGGTTTGCTGGTCAGAGGCTTCCCAACCCTCCCCATGGTGCCTGCCCTGCTTGCTGCTCACGAAGCTTTGTCCTGCCTCCCACCCCTACCCCCCAGTCAATAAGGTTGGTCTCTGTGCACTGTTTAGTTGGGTGTCCTAACAGCTAATGTTCTTCCTGCAAAACCGGGTCACATTATTTTGGTGTTCTATTTTGCTTTGTCTCCTAGTACATGCGACAATTTTACAATGAGACCTACCAGGACAGGACTGGTGAAGTCATAGAAGACTTCCCCTTGACGTTGCTGTGGTCTTTAACTGTGTCCATGTTTCCCTTTGGAGGCTTCATCGGATCCCTCCTGGTCGGACCCTTGGTGAATAAATTTGGCAGGTAAGGGAAGGGGAATCTTTAATTCCCTGAAACTCATAGACCCCCATTAGAGCTAAAACATAGGCCTACCACTGAAATCCTTACCATGAGACTAGGATAATAATCACTGTGCTCATTGTTCTGTTCTTTTTTTTTTTTTTTAATTTGAGTTGGCCAGGCTGAAGTGCAGTGGCACAATCTCGCCTCGCTGCAACCTCTGCCTCCCGGGTTCAAGCCATTCTCCTGCCTCAGCCTCCTGATCCTGGGATCACAGGTGTATACCAGCACACCCAGCTAATTTTGTGTTTTTAGTAGAGATGGGTTTTCACCATGTTGATCAAGCTGGTCTCAAACTCCTGACCTCAGATGATCCACCTGCCTTAGCCTCCCAAAGTGCCAGGATGACAGAGGTGAGCAACTGCACCTGGCTGGTCATTTTTATTTTCTAATGGGGTCAGAAAAGAAGACCAGACATTGTCAGTGTTTGAAGACCAAGGCAGGGTCTCATGGGTTAGAAGCAGGGGTGGCCTGGGATCAGCAGGCTCTCGGTGGACCCAGAAGGAGCCTTGTGTGCTTGTGGAGACCCGAGACTCACTTTGGCTTACACTGCCCTTTTTCCCCCACAGTGTCACCTAGGACATCTCTCTTGTGACACCAGCCTCATGAACACAGGGGAGTCAGGGCTGTATCTTTGCACCTGTTTCTAGAAACATAAGAAATTCCATATTTTATCCCAAAAAAGTTTCCTTAAGATATTATTACACTCCCCCTTGTAACTTCCATGGACATTATGGAAGACCTACTTAGAAACAGAATTATAGAGTTCCCATCATGCAACTCCAGGGATGAGGAGCGCACGGGGGCTGAGTGAGATCACAGATCTGGTGAGCCCAGAGCCAGGACTGTAACCCAGACTCTGATTCCTCCTCCAGTATTTCTAGAAAAGAATCTGAGAATAAAAGCACATGGCTGGGTATGGTGGCTCACACCTGTAATCCCAACACTTTGGGAGGCTGAGGCAGGGAGATCACTTGAGCTCAGGAGTTCAAGACCAGCCTGACCCACATGGTGAAACCCATCTCTACTAAAAATACAAAAAAAAAAAAAAAATTAGTCAGGTGTGGTGGCACATGCCTGTAATCCCAGCTACTTGGGAGGCAGAGGCAGGAGAATCACTTGAACCTGGGAGGTGGAGGTTTGCAGTGAGCTGAGATCACACAATTGCACTCCAGCCTGGGCAACAAGAGCAAAACTCCAAAACAAAAGCAACAAAACAAAACAAACAAACAAACAAACAAACAAAATATCGCCACTGCTTTGGGATCTAGCATCTTCTTGAGAGGTTAGTGTTGAACCCACAGTTTTCCCTGTGGGCCCCCATGGAAAAGAACATCCCTCCAGTCAGAATCAGACCTGCAGGACACTTCTCCTTGAGTGAGGAGCATGCCGTTTGGTCCACAGATGGAGCTGAAGGTTGCTAATTGAACTGTCTTGTTGGGAGTCCGATAAATGCTATTTGGCTTGCCATTTTCTTAAGTATTTGTCTTATTTATTTATTTATTTATTTATTTATTTATTGAGGCAGAGTCTTGCTCTGATGCCCAGGCAGAGTCTTGCTCTGATGCCCAGGATGGAGTGCAGTGATATGATCTTGACTCACTGCAACCTTCACCTCCCAGGTTCAAGCCATTCTTCTGCCTCAGCCTCCCAGGTAGCTGGGATTACAGGCACCCACCACCATGCCTGGCTAATTTTTGTCTTTTTAGTAGAGACGGGGTTTCACCATATTGGCCAGGCTGGTCTCAAACTCCTGGCCTCAAGTGATCCACCCGCCTCAGCCTCCCAAAGTGCTCGGATGACAGGGTGAACCACCACGTGCAGCTGGTGTTATTTAAATAATAGTAGCAACTAACATTTATTAATGAGTTCCTATGTGCCAGGCACTATCCTGACTGCATTTAGAAGTGCTATTACAATCCCCACTTTAAAGATGGCAAAATGGTGCACACAGAGACATTGTAACTTACCCGAGATTACACAGCTGTGAGGTGGCCAAGACTCCAACCCAGGACATTTCACTTCTGAGTATGAGCAAGTAACCTCTATACTCTACTTCTGTTATTTAGGGCAAATATCTTCACAATCTCTTGCCTTATTTTTTAATCATACCTATAGCACCTTTTTAATGCAAAATTTTTAAGTCTTCAAGTAGTCAAATTTATAGTTTTTGCTTTTCAACTAGGGACACTTAAAAAGCAAAAACTATAAATATATATATATGTGAGACAGGGTCTCACTCTGTCACCCAGGGGGGCAGTGCAGTGGCATGATCATAGCTCACTGCAGTCTTGAACTCATGGGCTTAAGGGATCCTTCTGCCTCAGCCTCCTAAATCACTGGAACTACAGGTGTACACCACCACACTCCACTCATTTTTTAGTTTTTGTAGAGACAGGGTCTCACTATGTTGCCCTGGCTGGTGTGAAACTCCTGGGCTCAAGCAGTCCTCCCATCTTGGCCTCCCAAAGTGCTGGGATTATAGTCATGAACCGCTATGCTGGCCTCTTCTGTATTTTTAAAATTAATTTCACAATTTTGTTCTTCCAGTTCGATCTGGTGTTTTATTTTGTGTATACCGGGTGACGAGAGAGAACTAATTGTATTTTTTTTCCAAGTGGAAAGTCACTTGCTCTCCAATTTATCTTAGTTATTCATGTTCCTTTACTCTTCCATTTAAAATTTTAAGTCAGCTTCTCAAAATCGCTGAAAAAAGATTCTGATTGGCATTACTCTGAATTTATAAATTAACTTAAGGAAAACGGACATCCCTCCAAGCTTTCCATCGTCTTCAGGTCTTCTTAGATGTCCTTCAAGAAAGTTTCATTGTAAAGGACCAAGGATTTGTTTTGTTTATCCGGGTAATGACTGTGGTTCCTTGTCTGAAGTTTTATGTCTTTGTTATCAGTTCTAGGAAGTTTTCAGCCAGTATCGCTACAAATACCACCCCCCATTTTCTATATCCTTTACTTCTAGAACTCTATGAAGTTCCTCCATGTCTTTGAATCTTTCATATTTCCCATCTTCTTATCTCTCTCAGGTACTTTCTAGGTAATTTCTGCAGGTCTCCCTTCCCATTCATTAATTCTCTCTTCAAATTTAATAAACCTGCTATGTTTTTAATTTTAATGATTATATTTTTCATTTCAATAAGTTCTGTTTGTTCATTTTTAAAATCTATTTTCTATCATTGTTTTAGATAACTCTTTTTTTTTTTTTTTTTTTTTGAGACGGAGTTTCGCTCTTGTTACCCAGGCTGGAGTGCAATGGCGCGATCTCGGCTCACCGCAACCTCCGCCTCCTGGGTTCAAGCAATTCTCCTGCCTCAGCCTCCTGAGTAGCTGGGACTACAGGCGTGCGCCACCATGCCCAGCTAATTTTTGTATTTTTAGTAGAGACGGGGTTTCACCATGTTGACCAGGATGGTCTTGATCTCTTGACCTCATGATCCACCCGTCTCGGCCTCCCAAAGTGCTGGGATTATAGGCGTGAGCCACCGCGCCCAGCTGTTTTAAATAACTAACTTTTATAGTTTTTTTGTTCTTTCCTATAGTACTATTTTTTATTTTATTTTATTATTTATTTATTTATTTATTTTTGAGATGGAGTCTCGCTCTGTCACCCAGGCTAGAGTGCAGTGGTACAATCTCGGCTCACTGCAACCTCTGCCTCCTGGGTTCAAATGATTCTCCTGCCTCAGCAAATAGCTGAGATTACAGATGCCTACCACTAGGTCCAGCCAATTTTTGTATTTTTAGTAGAGACAAGGTTTCACCATGTTGGCCAGGCTGGTCTCGAACTCTGACCTCAAGTGATCCGCCCCTACCCTTGGCCTCCCAAAGTGCTGGGATTACAGGCATGAGCCACCGAACCCTGCCTATTTTAAATACACACACACACACACACACACACACACACACACACACACGAGATGGGGTCTTACTCTGTTGCCCAGGCTGGGGTGCAGTGGTGCAATTATGGTTCACTGCAGTTTCCACCTGCTGTGCTCAAGTGATCCTCCTCTCTAGTAGCTGAGACTGCAGAGATGGGGGTCTTGCTATGTTGCCCATGCTGGTCTTGAACTCCTGGCCTCAAGCCATCCTCCCACCTCGGCCTCTAAAAGTGCTGAGATTACTGGCATGAGCCACCATGTCCTGCCATTAAAAATAGATATTTTTCTTTTTTCTTTTCTTTTTTTTTTTTTTTTTTTTGAGATGGAGTCTCACTCTGTCACCCAGGCTGGAGTGCAATTGCACAATCTTGACTCACTGCAACCTCCGCCTCCCAGGTTCAAGCAATTCTCCTGCCTCAGCCTCTGGAGCATCTGGGATTACAGGTGTGCACCACCATGCCTGACTGATTTTTGTATTTTTAGTAGAGACAGGGTTTCATCATGTCGGTCAGGCTGGTCTCAAACTCCTGACCTCACATGATCTGCCCACCTCGGTCTCCCAAAGTGCTGGGATTACAGGCATCAGCCACCGTGCCCAGCCTATATTTTATTTTGAAAGAGCAGTTTTACGCTCACAGCATAATTGAGAAGAAGCTACAGAGACCCCATACATACATACCCTCTCCCCGATACATACACAGTCTCCCCCTTTATCAACATCTCTCCCCAGAGTGGTGTATTTGTTACAAATGACGAAATTTGCATTGAGGTATATCATCACCCAAGGTTCATAGTGTACATTAGGGTTTATTCTCTGGGTTTTCACAGAAGCATAATGACTTGTATCCACCATTATGGTGTCATATAAAGTAGTTTCACTGCCTAAGAATCCTCTGTGCTCTGCCTACTCATCCCTCCCTCCTCTCTAACTCCGGGCAACCACTGATCCTTTTACTATCGCCGGAGGTTGCCTTTCCCAGAATGCCATGTAGTTGGAATCATGTAGTATGTAGGATTTTTTCTTCCTTCCTTCCCCTTCCTTCCTTCCTTTCTTCTTTCCTTCTTTCCTTCTTTCTTTCTTTCTCTCTTTCTTTTCTTCTTTATGCTCCTTCTTGCACACCGATAGGCTTTTCAGATAGGCCTCTTTTACTCAGATGCACTGAAGGCTTCTCCATGTCTTTTCATGGCTTGGTAGCTCATTTCTTTTTAGTGATGAATAATCTTTCATTGTCTGGTTGTACCACATTTTATCCGTTCATTACTAAAGGACATTTTAGCTGCTTCCAAGTTTTGACAATTATGAATAAAGCTGCTGTAAACGTTCAGTGTGGACGTAAGTTCCTGTGTGGACATATGTTTTCAACTCCTTTGGGTAAATCCCAAGGAGTATGGGATTGCTGGATCATATGAGTACAGAAAAGCATACGTTTAGTCTTACAGGAGACTGCCAAACTGTCTTTTAAATGGATGTATCATTTTGCATTCCCACCAGCCACGAATGAGGGTTCCTGTTGCACCAGCATTTGGTGTTGTCAGAGTTCGGGGTTTTTGCTCTTCTGACAGGTGGTACCTCATTGTTTAGTTTGCATTTCCCTGATAACACATCACGCGGGTCACCTTTCATATGCTTATTTCCCATCTGTGTATCTTGGTGAGGTGTCTGTTAAGATCTTTGGCCCCTTTAAAAATTGGGTTGTTTGTTTTCTTTTTGAATTTTCAGAGTTCTTTGTATGTTTTGGAGAACAGTCCTTTATCGGCTATGGCTTTTGCCAATATTTTCTCCTAGTTTGTGGCTTGTCTTTTCATCCTCTAAACAGTGTTTTCACAGAGCAGAAAGTTTTAATTTTTGTGAAGACCAGCTTATCAACTCATTTGCTTTTTTTTTCTTTCTTCCTTTTTCTCTTGCCTCCCCTCCCTCCCTGTCTTTCTTTTTTCCCCTCCTTTCTTCCGTCTCTTTCTTTTTTCTTTCATTTTGAAATAAAACTTTATTGTGATTTCTTATTGTCATAAAAGAACAGATAATTGCTTGGGAGGGGTGTACTCCCATAACACGTCCGCCTCCCTTCTTGGTATGCCACTGGTTCCTATCTTTACTTGTTCTTTGTGTAATCAACCGACTATTTTGAGAGGATCATGTTAACAACTTCAGACCAAAATTGTTGCTTGACCTACTCCTCCCTGGAATTTGATCAGTCCGGTTGACACTGCATGTATTTTGAGGCTGTTGGCATCATCCATATGACAATTCTATCTTCTTTGCTATTATTTATTTTACTTCTCTGTAATGCATATAACACCTCTGTGTTTTATGATGTTTTTGTCTCAAATTATATTTTGTCAGTTATTAAGACTGTCATCTGACTTCCCTTTTTGTCTATATTGGCCTTTTAATTTTATATTTTCTAACTTTCTGTATTTATTTCATTCTAAGGATCAATTCTTTCTTTCATGGATTAGGCCTTTGGTGTTATATCTGAAAAGTCATTGTCAAACCAAAGACTGTCTAGATTTTTTTTCCTGCACTATCTTCTAGGAGTTTTGTAGTTTTGCATTTTATATTTAGGTCTGTGGCCACTGTGAGTTAATATCTGGGAAGGTTTTAATGTCTGTGTCTAGATTCATTTTCATTTTCTTGCGGGTAGATGTCCAGTTGTTCCAGCACCATTTTCTTTTCTATTTTTGTTTTTGAGGCAGGGTCTCATTCTGTCACCCAGACTGAGTGTGGGGGCACAATCGTGGCTCGCTGTAGCCTCAAACTTCCTAGCTTAAGCAATCCTCCTGCCTCAGCCTCTGCAGTAGCTGGGACTACAGGAGTGCACCACCAGTAGTGCCCAGCTAACTTTTTATTTTTTTCTTTTTCTTTTTTGAGACAGAGTCTTGCTATGTCACCCAGGCTGGAGTGCAAAGTGGTACAGTCTCAGCTCACTGCAAACTCTGCCTCGTGGGTTTAAGCAATTGTCTAGCCTCAGTCTTCCAAGTAACTGGAATAAGAGGTGTGTGAGGCTGAGGCAGGCTAATTTTTTTGTGTTTTTAGTAGAGGCAGGGTTTCATCGTGTTGGCCAGGCTAGTCTCGAACGCCTGGCCTCAGGTGATCCACCCACCTTGGCCTCTCAAAGTTCCTAGGATTATAGGCGTAAGCCACTGCGCCTGGTCGATTTATTATTTTTTCTAGAGATGGCATCTCACCTTGTTGCCCAGGCTGGTCTGGAACTCCTGTACACAAGTGATCCTCCAACCTCAGCGTCCAAACGTGCTGAGGTTACAGGCATGAGCCACTGCACCCAGCCCAGCACCATGTTTTGAGGACTTTTTTCCCCAGTGTGTTCCCTTTGCTCCTTTGTAAAGATCAGTTGACTAGACTTACTTGGGTCCATTTCTGGACTCTCTGTTCTGTTCCATTGATCTATTCATCTATTCTCTTTTTTTTTTTTTATTTTGCCAGAGTCTCACTGTGTCAACCCAGGCTGGAGTGCAGTGGTGCCATCTCGGCTCACTGCAACTTCCGCCTCCCAAGTTCAAGCAATTCTCATGCCTCAGCCTCCTGAATAGCTGGGATTACAGGCATGTGGCTGTAGTAGAGATGATGGGGTTTCACCATGCTGACCAGGCTGGTCTTGAGCGCCTGACCTCACGTGATCTGCCCACCTCAGCCTCCCAAAGTGCTGGGATTACAGGCGTGAGCCGCCACACCTGGCCTATTGTCTATTCATTTACTTGTACTGTACTGTCTTGATTACTGTAGCGTTATAGTAAGCCTTGAAATCAGATACTGCCAGTTCTCCAATACAGTACCATTTGGATTCCTTATTTTATGACAGTAATCGTTTTAAAGATTTTATAGTCCCAATCTGATTCTGTTGTCTGAAGGTGTGCTGTTAGTGTAAGTGGCTCTCACATGTGGTGAGTTTTTCATGTGTTTAAGAATGGTGGAGCTCTACCCATTAATGGCTTTGTCTGTCATGAGGGTCCTTGTCATGAGGGCTCCATTGTGAGAGGCCCCTCTGGAGAAGTTTGCTTTGCTTCTGTCAGGATCTCTAGGGAAGACTTGTTCCTGACTTAAATGGCATTGCGTTCCAAGTTAGTGTGATGTTTGATATAGGTTTTAGGTAGGTTCCCTTTATCAGCTTAAAAAAGTTCCTCCATTTATAGTTTAAGGCTGGCAAAAAAAAAAAAAAAAATGGCTGGGTGCAGTGGCTCATGCCTATAATCCCAGTGCTTTGGGAGGCAGAGGCAGGCAGATCACCTGAGGCCAGGAGTTCAAGACCAGCCTGGCCAACATGGGGAAACCCCATCTCTATTACAATCACTTAGCTGGGCGTGGTGGCATGTGCCTGTAATCCTACCTACTTGGAAGACTGAGGCATAAGAATTACTTAAACCCAGGAGACCGAGGTTACAGTGAGCCAAGATCACTGTACTTCAGCCTGGGTGACAGAGTGAGACTCTGTATCAAAAAAAAGAAAGGAAGAAAGAAACTTAGGCCAACTTTTAAATAAACAAATAAATGAAAATTTTAAAATCATACTGGTATTAAATTTTATTGACTTATTTTGCTGCTTCTGTTGAGATAATCCAGTGTTTTCCCCCAATATTTTATTTATTTATTTATTTATTTATCTATTGAGACAGAGTCTCACTCTGTCACCCAGGCTGAAGTGCAGTGGTATGATCTCGGCTCATGGCAACCTCCACCTCCCGGGTTCAAGCAATTCTGGTTCCTCAGCGTCCTGAGTAGCTGGGATTACAGGTGCCCACCACCACGACTGGCTAATTTTTGTATTTTTAGTAAAGACATGGTTTTACCGTATTGGCCAGGCTCATCTCAAACTTCTGACCTCAAGTGATCTGCCCACCTTGGCTTCCCAAAATGCTGGGATTACAGGCGTGAGCCACCATGCCCAGCCCAAATGTAATCTTTAATACGGTAAAATACATTGAAACGTTTTTGTGTATGCTGTTGAATTTAATCTAAGATTTCCTTTAGGATTGTGGCATCTATGTTGACATAAGTGACATAGGCCTATACTTTTCTTTTCCTCTAATGTCCTTACTCAGGACAATTTTGGGTTTGGCTTTCAAGATTACACCACAATTATAAATCAGCTAATGATTTCAAAAACCTTTTACTATATCTTAATATAGAGCCCTTTCCCTCCATTCTCAGCACTGATGCCCTCTGGACTGTGGTCATTTCCATTTGCTACCCACACAGAGAAGATTCCCACACCAGGCCACCCACTTGTCCTGTATCAGTCCCAGGTCCCAGAGAGCTAAATACACAGCAGTAAAGCCACTGCTGTAACTGCTGGAGCCTCTGCAGGGGAGACACTCCAGGAACATTCATGGAATAAATGAGCGAATCCTTGAGCCAAACTAACTGATATTTTGTCCTCTGCAGGAAAGGGACCTTGCTGTTCAACAATATATTTTCTATCGTGCCTGCGATCTTAATGGGATGCAGCAAAGTCGCCAAGTCCTTTGAGCTTATCATTATTGCCAGACTTCTGGTGGGAGTGTGCGCAGGTAAACAATGCTACACTGTGCTGCCATTCTGTGAGGGTCGTCCAGGAGCGGGACAACGGGCTCCCAGGGACCAGAACCAATCTGTGATCTCTGAAGTGTATAGCAAGCCATTCCTATGCCTCTACTGTGAAATAGATGCTTGAGTTCTATGTGGGTCTCAGGTGCAAAAGCAGGCAGAGCTTTACTGTGATGTGTCCTACAAAGACACGTCTTTGAAAGACTGAAATGCAGAATCTTCACCTGGGAAGAATCCTTTCCATCCAATCCTTTATCTCTATATGTTGTCAACATATTTAGAACATATTGAGATAAAAGATCACACACACACATATATTACTTTATCCTTACTACATATAACACAGTCTCTTCCATTTTATTTATTTATTTATGAGACAGGGGGATACGGTTTGGCTCTGTGTCCTCACCCAAATCTCATCTCGAGTTGTAATCCCCATGTGTCAAGGGAAGGACCTAGTGGGAGGTGATTGAATCCCGAGGGCGATTTCTCCCATGGTGTTCTTTAAACTGTAGGTGACAACCAGTTAGTGGGTGGTGATATCTGTTTAATGAGCAGCATTTTCTTTTTAAAAATAGAATAGCTGGGTGCAGTGGCTCACACCTGCAATCCCAGCTACTCTGGAAGCTAAGGCAGGAGGATCACTTGAGCTCAGGAGTTTGAGACCAGCCTGGGCAACACAGTGAGACCCTGTGTATTAGTCCATTTTCACACTACTATAAAGAATACTCCCTGAGACTTGGTAATTTATAAAGAAAAGAAGTCTAATTGACTTACAATTCCCCCCGGCTTGGGAGGCCTCAGGAAACTCACAATCATGATGGAAGGGGAAGCAGGCATGTCTTAGGCAGCAGCAGGTGAGAGAGAGGGAGAGAAAGTGAGAGTAGGGAAGCTGCCTTATAAAACCATCCAGTCTCATGAGAATTCAGTATCACAAGAACACCATGGGAGAAATCTCTCTCATGATCCAGTCACCTCCCACCAGGTCCTTCCCTTGACACATGGGGATTACAACTCGAGATGAGATTTGGGTGAGGACACAGAGCCAAACTATATCCCTCTGTCTCATAAATAAATACACACACACACACACACACACACACGAACCAGGTTGCAGTGTAAAATGTATTTCTGTGTTTTTTTACTGTAGGTGAGAGTCAAAAAAGCTTGAGAAACAATTTACTATATGAATTCCACCACCAGAAAGGTGTTGACAATGCCTCATTTTAAGTTTTATAGGGGAATTTCAAGTTTGCCAAGGCATCCTGACTTCTATTCCTGAAACACTCACCTACTGAGAAGGTGCTGACTCGCTGAGACCTCTCGTCTCACAACCTGGGAGGTGGTTTCTCCTAAGCCTACTCTGTTGCCTCCAAGCCTAGGCTGCCAGGCTGTACTGTGGTGACTTTAGAAAACTCTCCCATAGCTGCTTCATACTGAAGAGAAATGAGGGTACAGCGCTGTCGGGGGCTTTCCCTGAGTTGCCATCCGTAGTCAGCAGTATTTTTCAGGCCCAGGAGGGGAGAGGCATCCAGGGTGCAAGCTCTCAGGGTCCTACAAGTGCAGGGTGGGCCCCTGGAGGGTCCCCCTCCTGGGGACCTCACTGCCTCCCTCCAGTTACTGTCCCAACATTGCCAAAGAACTCTCATTTGTTTCTTCCACACGCAGGGATAGGGACAAATGGATAATTTGGCTGGCAGTCTGCAAACCCCTCAGCTGGGATTAATTGGCAGTAACAGAGACATGAAAAAAAGATGAAAGACATTTCCCAAGCACGGACTAAGTCACGCCCAAGGGAGGCTGATGAGCCCATGGCAAACTTTTCCTGGTGCTCGGCTTTCACTGAGAGTACCCGGCTGGGTCTCTGCCATCTTGCCCTGACCTGTGGGTTTTGTCTGCAGTGGGCTCAACTTCTTGAAAAATAGATGATTCCTGTCGGGCACAGTGGCGCGTGCCTGCAGTCCCAGCTACTCGGGAGGCTGAGGTGGGAGGATTGCTTGAGCCCAGGAGTTCTGGGCTGTAGTGCGCTATGCCGATAGGGTGTCCGCACTAAGTTGGGCATCAATATGGTGACCTCCCGGGAGCGGGGGACCACCAGGTTGCCTAAGGAGGGGTGAACCAGCCCAGGTCGGAAACACAGCAGGTCAAAACTCCTGTGCTGATCAGTAGTGGGATCGCACCTGTGAATAGCCACTGCACTCCAGCCTGGGCAACATAGCAAGACCCCGTCTCTTAAAAAAAAAAAAAAAGAAAGAAAGAAAGAAAAAAAGAAAAATAGATGATTCCTAAAAGTTGTCAGCAGTGAGCAGGTCCAATCACTTTTCTGTCGACTATTAACAATACAGAATTGTTTCCAACAGAGAAATAGTAGGCTCCAGTAGATAACCAATCAGTTTAAAGTCTCAACCTGCACTCTGAAGTCAGCAGTTCTCAAAGTTTTAGGTCTCAGGCCCCTTTGCACACTTAAAATTATCGAAGGCTGCAAAGAGCTTTTGCTCATGTGGGTTATATTGATCAATACTTGCTGTATTAGAAATGGCAAGCGAGAGTCATAGTAATTCATTTTTTAAAATAAGCCTATTACGTGAAGAGTTGTTTGTTTTACATTTTTGCAAATCTCTTGAATGTCTGGCCTCATCGAAGACAGCTGAATTCTCAGACGTTCTTCTGGGTCAGGTCACTTGTGATGTGGCGTGGCGGGCAGTCTCTGGAAAACTCCCATATGCTCATGAGAGAAAGAGAACGAAGAGCAAATATCATCATCTCAGGATTATCACAAAAATCGTTTTGATCTCACAGACACCCTTAAAAGGTCTTGGGACCTCCAGGTCCTCAGATCATGGTTTGAGAACACTGGCCACTGGGTACATAATCCATTAGCCATCAGTTTTTCACATACCTCCTGCAAGTCAGCAAAGTAGGTCACCAAGCTATGTGCTGCTTAAACACTCATTTTAAAACCACCCATATGGCCGGGTACGGTGGCTCACGCCTGTAATCCCAGAACTTTGGGAGGCTGAGGCAGGTGGATCACTTGAGGTCAAGAGTGCGACACCAGCCTGGCCAAAATGGTGAAACTCCGTCTCTACTAAAAATGTAAAAATTAGTTGGGCGTAGTGGAGTAGGTCTGTAATCCCAGCTACTAGGGAGACTGAGGTACAAGAATCGCTTGAAGCCAGGAGGGGGAGGTTGCAGTAAGCTGAGATCGTGCCCCTGTGCTCCAGCCTGGGTGACAGAGCAAGACTCTGTCTTGCAAACAAAACAAACACAAAAATAAAACCACCCATATGAACAAGAACCACCCGGCTCACTCTAAAATGAAGTAAACAACTACCTTGACAAGGGAGTGCCGAGACGAGTGTGACTTTGACTTGAACATGCTCGCACTCACTGATTTGTTATTAGTCAACTTCTTGGCGGGAAGACTGAAGGTATTCATTGGCTCAGAGGAACTTAAACGTATTGTTTGTTGGTTGGTTGGTTTGAGATGGACTCTTGCTTAGTTGCCTAGGCTGCAGTGCAGTGGCACGATCTCAGCTCACTGCAAGCCCCACCTGCCGAGTTCAAGCAATGCTCAAGCCTCAGCCTCCCAGCTAGCTAAGACTACAGGTGTGTCACCACGCCCAGCTAATTTTTTTGTATTTTTTGTAGAAATGGGGTTTTGCCATGTTGGCTAGGCTGGTCTCAAACTCCTGGCGTCAAGTGATCCACCCGCCTCAGCCTCCCAAAATGCTGGGATTACAGGTGTGAGCTGCAGTGCCCAGCAGGAAGAATTTAAACTTTAAAAGCCACTTTGCTCTGACTCTAGTGTCACAACTAGCTGGCTGGGAAGTCCTTGTAGAGTCATTTTAAAGACAAAAATCGAGATTGCTTTCCACCAACATACAGGTAACCCCATCTCTTCACAGACCTCCTGCGGTTTGACCCTTTATGTCCTTCACCAAGTTAAGGTGCTCTTGCCACTAAGTGGCCCCCAGGCTCTTGTCGAGTGGTAAGGACAGAGCTCCACTTCAGCTCCCAGGAGGCCTTGCCTTCCTCTGCAGCTCTTTGCCCTGGGCCTGTGGGGTGTTGCCCCCTCTTCCCACCTAGGCATGCTAAGAGCTGCTTTAAAGTCTGCCCCTTTGCTCTGAAAATGGAGAAGAATCGGCATTAATGAACTGTGATATCTCTTTTCAAATACTAAGCAGACGTCTGTGGGTAGAACTGCCAAGCAGGAAAACATGGCCTCAGGTACCCTCCCATCTCAGTGCCATCCGATACCCTGCCATCGACAGCAGCTGCAACCTCCACTTGCTCCAAACTCTGTTCCTGAGGGTCTCCCTGTCAGACACCCACACCCTCTGAGCCTCTGCTTGACCCAGGATTGGCCACAGGCTACTTGGACTAGTAAAACTTCCTCTCTATCCCCAGCCTCTGGAGGTGCTTTTAGGATAATTAAATAGGACAATATGTGTGAAAATACTTTGGAAGCTGTAAAACTAAATTCTACCTATTTTTTTTTAATCAGGCAACATCTCATTCTGTAAAATATAGTAAGTTTTCCCTCCACTAGATTCTAGTACAATGCAAAAACGTACAAGTTTAAATACTGGGGATTCAGAAGTAGTTCAGGCATTACATACATCCCAGAAATGCAAATATTCCATAATATGTATTGAAATTTCTAATGCTTATTGAGACATATAACTTGTTCTTAAAGGTGTATGCAAGTATCTCTGCATTGGTTTATTATGCACTGAGGGCCAGGGGTCCTTGGCCATACACGCATACACACACCATGTATACACATACACCCACCCAGGATTTATATATGTGTGTATATATATGTATATACACACACACACACACACACACACACGCCATACATGCAGGCTATATACACACACATACACACAGAGTCCATACACACACACACCATATATAAATACACACACAAGCCATATATATATACACACACACACATATATATGTATATATATATACATATGTTTTAGTGGAAACAGGGTCTCACTGTGTTGCCCAGGCTAGTCTCAAACTCCTGGCCCCAAGTGGTCTGCCTCCCCACTTAGCCTCTGCAAGTGCTGAAATGACAGGCATGAGCCATCATACCCAGCTGCCTTACCATTGATTAAATGGATCCTCCTCAAACAGCAGAAACGTGAGCGGGTCTAGACTCAGGCCGGGGCAGAGGGAAGGCCCCAGGTCCAGCTGGCCGGGGCCCCCAGATGACATGGGCTGAAACAAGGGACCCTGTGCGTGAGCTCCTTTGAACTGTTTTCTCTTTCCTTCAAGTATGAAGAGCTAAAAATTAAAAGAGGTGTTCGCAAAAAAAAAAAAAAAAAAGAGGTGTTCGCTTTCTCCTTTACACTTTTCAGAGAGTTCTGGCCCAAATAATGTGATTGCTAAGAATAATATACTTGAAGACACAGCTTGTCCCTGCCAGACTAATTTTTCCTGATGGTGTTTCGATTTCGCCTCCTCCCAGGTTTATCTTCCAACGTGGTCCCCATGTACTTAGGGGAGCTGGCCCCTAAAAACCTGAGGGGGGCTCTCGGGGTGGTGCCCCAGCTCTTCATTACTGTCGGCATCCTTGTGGCCCAGATCTTCGGTCTTCGGAATCTCCTTGCAAATGAAGATGGTGAGTTCAGGACATCTCGGGACCACCCTAGGCCCCTCCTCATTCTCCAAAGCCACTACCACAGGACAGGGCTTTCTGCGGACTGGTCTCTTCTAACAGGGTGGCTGTCCTTGGGGGGCCCATCCTGTCCTGAGCCCACACAGCAGGCCCTGGACAAAGGCGTGATGATGGACTGGCCAGTGTTTACTATCTAGTCCCTCTTAGGCGATGGATGAGGTGGCTTTGAGTGATCCGCTTCTCTGCCTGCTCAGCGGCTGTCCATATGGAGGACTGTGGCATAACAATGATAGCCACCAGTGTGCCAGGCTCTGTGCTTGAGGCAGGCCGAGCATCAGTTCACAGGACTGTTCCCAGCAACACTGTGGTCTGGGGCTCGGTGACGATCCCATTTTGCAGACCAGAAAGGGAAGGACCAGGAGTCAGGGTGGCCTGGCCCCATGGGTGAGGTGGTGAGGACATCCCAGACCCTGCCTCCACCCTCCTCAAGACAGCCCAGGGCCTGGCATGCAGAAGTTGAACAGATGCCTTTAACTGGTGTTGTTTTTGCATGACTTTCTCCCTTAAACCATCATCAGTCATCCCATCAGCCAAAACATAAGTCATTTCCCATCAGGGTTTCACATCCCGCCTGCAAGTCAGTCAAGTGGACCATCAAGCTCCGTCCTGCTTAGACGCTCTCTATAGAAAGTGCTTGTTGTGGGCCAAGTGCCAAGTCTTTTTTAGTAACTCATGTGTTCCTCAGAACAGTCCTCTGAAGCCTGGGCTGGTATCATACCCATTTTACAGGTGTATCACCTGAGGCACAGAGAGATTGGAAAACTGCTCCCAGCTCTCATGCGGATGCAGACCCACGGCACAGGCCTAGGTCCCTGTTTCAGTGCCACATGCTCCTGCCTCTCCTTCACTCCTGCATGTGTTGGGGACACTCACGCTGAGGTGCCACCCCCTCGTTAGGAGCTGGGACCAGAAGTGAATTAGCCAGGTTCCTGCCTCAGGGAGCTCTGCAGCAGAACTCAGAACCACACACGCTGCTCTAGGCGTTTGTGAAGCTCTCAGCTTCGTTTCCTTGCTTTGCCTCTAGTTTCACCTTTGGCAGCGGCAGGGTGAATGTTACCATTTCCACTCGCAGTGAGTGGACTCGCACCCAACATCTAGTCGGTGAGAGGCGTCCACGCTGAGTCTTGCAGCCTGTTCACTGCAGTATCAAACTCCGCTCATGAGTGCGGCCAGCCCACGTGTCCCCTCTATGTGGAATATTCAGGACATCCCCACTGTTCGTGGTGTCCTTTTATCATCAAAAGCTGCGGTGACCATTCCAGTTCAGGCGTCCTGGTAGCCTGGCTTCTCTGGGCACAGAGCTGGGAGCGGGCAGCTGGGTCAGGCCAGGTGTGCCCAGCTCCTCCAGCCCCTGCGAGACCGTCCTCTGAAGGACACGGGGACGTTCTCACCAGCACTCGGTGTTGCTGGCCTCGTGGGTGTGGTCCCTCTGGTGGGCGCAGCGATGCATCGCTGCTGAGCCCTGACGCCGGCGCTTCCCAAGTGTCCATCGCGGGGAATCGTTGTTCTTAGGGCTGGGAAAGCTGTGCCCTCCTGACCTGTGCCCCGCTCAGAGTGATGGGGCCGGCTCCGTGCAGAGGGTGCCTTTTGGGTGGTCGGGAGGCCGCTGGTGCCAGCTCGCTGCCTTCCTCCCAGGCTGGCCGATCCTGCTGGGGCTGACCGGGGTCCCCGCGGCGCTGCAGCTCGTTCTGCTGCCCTTCTTCCCCGAGAGCCCCAGATACCTGCTGATTCAGAAGAAAGACGAAGCGGCCGCCAAGAAAGGTAATGAGGACCCGGGCGGGTGCGGCCTCCAAGCTTTGCCCCCCAACCCTGGTCCGACAGCGCCACTTCTCCCCAGCCCTGAAGACACTGCGCGGCTGGGACTCCGTAGAGGCGGAGGTGGCCGAGATCCGGCAGGAGGACGAGGCGGAGAAGGCCGCCGGCTTTATCTCGGTGCTGAAGCTGTTCCGGATGCGCTCGCTGCGCTGGCAGCTGCTATCCATCATCATCCTCATGGGCGGCCAGCAGCTGTCGGGCGTCAACGCCGTATGGGCCGGGCCGTGGCTCGGGAGCCGGGGAGGGCTCGGGGGCGCAGGGCGTGGGTCCCGGCGCAGAGGCCGCCTCCTCCGGGCAGCCGCCCAGCCCCGTGCTTGCCTTGCAGATCTACTATTACGCGGACCAGATCTACCTGAGCGCCGGCGTGAAGGAGGAGCACGTGCAGTATGTGACGGCCGGCACCGGGGCCGTGAACGTGGTCATGACCTTCTGCGCTGTGAGTGTCCTGGGAGCAGCCCGCAGCCTCCACCCAAAGCCCCTCGGGCCCCCACGTCCCAGCCTCCGAGGGCAGCCCGTGGTTTCCAAACGTGGAGGCCCAGCCCCTCCTACAGAAGCTCCGTGTGGGAGGTGGCCCCGCACCGGCCCTTCACACTTGGGCCTGCCGAGCCGCACCGGGCCGAGGGCGACCGTCTGACCGGAATGTAGGGCGCCGGGTGGCTCCAGGCCCGGGGTACCTGGAGTGAGGCTCGGCCACCTCAGGATGGGAACAGGCTCCGTGGGGGCAGCGTCTCCGGTGCCTGCAGACATCTGGTCTCCTGGGCGGGCGCGGATCCTCAGGCTCAGGGTTGTGGGATTAGGAGGCCCTAGAGCTGAGTCTCAAGGGCGGGCAGCTGGGGGCCCCCGCATCCCAGCCACAGCCGACTTCCTGCTGGCCAACCGAGGGCATGTCTTGCACACAGGAGTGAGTGTGCTTGCACGCGGTGGGCAGCCGGCTTGCCCAGCTCGCCTCACAGCGGCCCCCTGGGAAGGGGCTGGAAGGAGGGTGACGCTGGGCCTGTCACCTGAGCCATGCCGCCGTGCTGTAGGTGTTCGTGGTGGAGCTGCTGGGTCGGAGGCTGCTGCTGCTGCTGGGCTTCTCCATCTGCCTCACAGCCTGCTGCGTGCTCACCGCGGCTCTGGCCCTGCAGGTGAGGGCGGGCCAGGGTCCCCGGAGCCCAGAGCTGCGCCAAGAAGACCAGGGCCGCTCCCACCCTCACCCCCACCTGCCTTAAAAAGGAAAGGGGGTCACAGTGAGCTGTTTTAGCAAATACAAGCGGCCAGATATCTAGGGGATCATGTGTCCTACTAGCCCACAGCCCACGTTCAGCTGATTTCCCAGTGGCTCATCGAGGTGGCACTGCCGGGGGAGGAGCGAGGTGCCATCCTCCACCCATCAGGGCAGGTTGGCCGCACCCTGGGGTCCCGTCCTAGCTTGTCTGCTCCAGGCGAACCAACTGCTTTCTCTCCACAGGACACGGTGTCCTGGATGCCATATATCAGCATCGTCTGTGTCATCTCCTACGTCGTAGGACACGCCCTTGGGCCCAGTACGTACCTGAAGCTGGCCTCAGGATGTCACCATCCCCTCCAGTCCCAGAAGCTCCTGGCTGGAGCTCCTTAGAGGCACCAGGGATGGCCCAGTGCAGCCTGGAAATGGCATCTCTTCCCCGCTCCACTGCGGGGGTGGGGGGAGTGGCACGAAATGAGGGCGAAAATGGTAAAGTGGTGGTGTGGGCAGGAACACACAGACTGTGCAGGCAGCAGAGTGGGCTTCACAGGTGGCCACTGGCCGGCCATCCTTGTTCGCTGCCATTTGCCTCCTGCGTGCTGCCCCACAGCCCGAGTCCTGGAGACGCCGCTGCTCCAGGGCCTGCATGGCCAGGCCTGGGATGCTCGGGCCTTCTCTGCCTTCAGGGAGGCTGCTCTCCTCCCTCCGCAGGTCCCATCCCCGCGCTGCTCATCACTGAGATCTTCCTGCAGTCCTCTCGGTCATCCGCCTTCATGGTGGGCGGCAGCGTGCACTGGCTCTCCAACTTCACCGTGGGCTTGATCTTCCCGTTCATCCAGGTGAGTGGGGCCCACTCTCACCAGATCGCCACGCAGTAGAGCACGGGCCCGTGGGCAAGCCCCGTCCCACACGTCACCTGCCCCTCTTCCCACAGGAGGGCCTCGGCCCATACAGCTTCATTGTCTTCGCTGTGATCTGTCTCCTCACCACCATCTACATCTTCCTGATTGTTCCCGAGACCAAAGCCAAGACGTTCATGGAGATCAATCAGATTTTCACCAAAATGAATAAGGTGTCTGAAGTGTACCCAGAAAAGGAGGAACTGAAAGAGCTTCCACCTATCACTTCTGAACAGTGACTCTGGAGAGGAAGCCAGTGGAGCGGGTCTGCCAGGGCCTTCCTCCTTTGGCCTGTTTTTCTGACTTCTAGCTGTCTGTAAATATCCAGAAATAAAACGAGTCTGACGTGGAATGCAGCCCTCCTCGCCAGCCTCCCCACCCCAGTGGGAACTGTGCAAAGCGCTTCCTTGCTGTTCTCGAAGCCGGGCTGTCTCTCTCCAGACCAACCCCTCGCCACCCCCGAGTCAAGTGAACAGCTGGTCTTCCACCTTGCTGGGTCAGCCTTTGTGTGGCTCCTGGTAACATAACAAAAACAGTTACTATAGTGGCGAAATGGAAGGAATCAAATTTTGCCAGATAAACGGACTCTGTGGCCCCGACAGATCTTCTGGGGCCCTGGGCATTTGTTTAGAGCCAAATTCATCTTCTTATCAGATCCTTTTCCAGAAATACCTATCTAGGAAGGTGCGATGTCAGAAACAACGACATCCAGAAAGCTGAGGAGCACGTCCCTGTGGAGACACTTGAGTCAGAATTCTTAATCCTAAATTAAATTATTAGTGGAAAATGGAATTGCTTCTGTGTAGTCAATAAAATGAATCTGATCACTTTTCAACAAGACATACTGCTGTTCTGAGAGCAGGTGGGAGGCAGGAGGACATTCCGGGCTCCTTCAGGCAGTTTGACTGCACAGGTATTAGTTCCTTTAGGACAGGGGCTTGGTCGGTTTTGTTTATCCCTGAATCTCCAGCATCTAGAAGAGGGCCTCTGGAGGCTGAGGTGGGAGGATTGCTTCAGCCTGGGAGGTGGAGGTTGCAGTGAGCTGAGATTTCACCACTATACTCCAGCCTGAGCAACACAGACCCCATCTCAAAAAAAATTTTTTTTTTAATTGGGCATGGTGGCATGCCCTTATGGTCCCAGCTCTTTGGGAGGCTGAAATGGGAGGATCACTTGAGCCCAGGAGGTCAAGGCTGTCCTGGGCCATGATCGCATCACTGCATTCCAGCCTGCATGACAGAGTGAAACCTTGTCTCGAATAAATAAATAAATGTAAGATTGAGCAAGCTTCCAAATGTCCTCAGGTGTGTAGTGAGATCTTGAGGAGTCTTGAAATCTTGAGACTGTGGCCAGGGAGGAGTCTTGAAATCTTGAGACTGTGGCAAGGGAAAAGGAACAGGGTCTTGATATGGTTTGGCTGTGTCCCCACCCAAATCTCATCTTGAATTGTAACTCCCATAATTCCCCTGCATTGTGGGAGGGACCCTGTGGGGGATAATTGAATCATGGGGGCAGTTTCCCCCATACTGTTCTCATGGTAGTGAATCAGCCCCATGAGATCTGATGGTTCTATACGAGGAAACACCTTTTGCTTGGTTCTTATTCTCCCTCATCTGCCACCATGTAAGATGTGCCTTTTGGTTTCTACCATGATTGTAAGGCCTCCCCAGCCACGTGGAATGGTGAGTACATTAAACCTCTTTTTCTTTACAATTTACTCACTCTCTAGTATGTCTTTATCAGCAGCATGAATATGCATTAACACAGGTTTCCCACCAAAAATAGAGGGAGCTGGAGGCTTTTCTTAGAGATATGAATAAAGGGTGCAAGTATAAGTTTATGTATGTACAAAAATATAGATAAAACCTTGAAAGTGCTGAATGGCCTGTGCAAGAAGTGACATCTTCTCCTGGTAGTTGGGTGGCAGAGACTGGTGGCTGGGAGAGACAGTAGTGGGACTTCGGAGCACCTTTTGTGAGTATGGAATGGAGATTCCACAACCAACAAGCTAAATCACTCACAAGCAGGTCCAGAGGAAGTATATAGAACACTGTGGTTGAACCATCCTTGACCTTCTGCAGCAGGGATCTGCATCCTGGAAGGGGCACAGAAGCAACCAAAGATGAAGGCTCTGAGAGGTGAGGAGTAGCCAGGTTAGGATATCAGAAGAAGTCACGACACTGTGGCACCTCTAACACCGGGGAGGCTATGAAGTTCATGGTTCTGGATGTCTACTTCCTGGGTTCAAACTTTGGTTCTGCCATATTAATTGTGCAACTCAGGCAAGTTACTTGGCTTTTCTGTACCTCAGTTTTCTCTTCTGTTAAATGGAACTAATAATAAATGTCTCACATGGCCATCTTGAGAATTAAATAAATTTATATGTAGATCAGTGGTTTATATTTAGTATTCTTAGGTACTTTTAAGTGCTTGAATATAAGCATTAATCTTGAGGACAAATAAACTTACACATAAGCTACAGTGAGAGACCACTATACCAGGATTGAGCAATCCAGTAAATGGTTGGCAGATGGTGGGGCCATTTCACAGTTGCAATGGGAGGTTACAGATAAGCAGGGAGAGAGAGCGAATGGTCCGTGTGGTAGTAGATCATTATCTACTCCGAGTAGACTTGGAGACCTGGGTATGAACTCACATGCAGTTTAATGTAGATTCAGGCCACTATACAAATATTTATAGATACGCATCTACATACGGGTTAGCAAAATACAGCAGGAGGAGAGGTGTGGGAGTCCAGAAAGGAGGTGAGGAATTTGGAAAGACGAATATAATTTCTCCAGTTGGAGAAGATGCGACAGGAAGGTGAGGGATGGGCATTCCAGGCAACAGGCAGCACAGAGAGCTGTGGAGGCGTTCAGGGTCACTACAGCTTATTTGGTCTGAAAGTGAAGCCAGAGAGGCAGCAGTGGGTGTGGGGTGGGGACAGCTGTAGTGGATCATGTGGGTCCCAGGAGCCAAGTTGAACTTCATTGTCAAGACAGCCTGGGGTTATGTGATGACTGAGTTTCCAGGAGCACCTGGCAGCAATGTGAAGGGGTGGGGCTTGGATAGGGAGACCAGTTGGTGCATAATGAGGGCCCAGCAAAGCCCTCCATGGTCAGGGCTGAATGTGAGGAAGCATTCAGAAAGTCAGTAGGATTTGGGATCCACTCAGCCCTCAGCGGTGAGCAGTCTGGCATCCCTGCCAGGTTTCTAATATGGGCCAATGGGGCATGGCTGGAAGAGCTGGGTGGCAGGTTTTAGGAGAAGGTCATATCTACTTCTTGGACCTGTTGAGATGGAGGAGATCATGGGATACACAGAAGATATCTAGAAGGAAGGTGGCATGGGGCTCTGGAGCTCCGGGGAGCAGGGACATAGGTTTGGGGAAACCACATATCTGTTAGCACCTACTCTGTGCCAGGTCCTGAGTGAAAGGTGCAGTGAAGAAAAGTAGCCCGAGGTGACAGGTGGAGGAGCAGCTGAACAGAGAGAGGAGTGGGGCGGCTCGGGGGCAGCGTATGCAAGCGTCTTATAGGAGAGGGTCGGCCGTGGTTCAGGGAGTGATAGGAGGCAGGTGATGCCGAGGCAGAAAGGGGGTGGGGAGGAGGAAGGGGACACTGTGCAGACACTCAGTAGGCCCCCAGGAACATCAGAGATTCTATTCTGAATGTGTTGGGAGGCCAGTGGCTCACTTGAGCCGAGAGTATTCTGATCTGATTTGCAATTTAAGAAATCATTCCAGCTGCTCCGGAGAAGAGTCTGAAGGAGACCACGAGACAGCAAGGAAATCAGATCCTTACAAAAGATCTGCGAATAGGTTAAAGCACCATGTTTGCGTAAGATTGCCCCAGGTTTGCTGACCAAGAGGATGAAAGGTGGGAGGTGGGCTGGGTGTGCTGGCTCATGCCTGGAATCCCAGCACTTTGGGTGGGAGGATCACTTGAGGTCACGACTTCGAGACAAGCCTGGGCAACGTAGTGAGACCACCACCCCCAGCCCCCCGCCCCGGCCATCTCTACAAAAAGTAAATATAAAAATAACTGATGCTGTGGTGCACACCTGTAGTCCCAGCAACATGGGTGTCTGAGGCAGGAGGATCGCTTGTACCTAGGAGTCATGATCACACCAGTGCACTCCAGTCTGGGCAACAGAGCAAGACCTTTCTTCAAATAAATAACTTTTTTTTTAAGATGGGACATGGAGCACCGTCCAACAAGGGGCATAGGAAAGCCAGCAGAGAGGACAGAGCTGCCAAGCTCTGCCACTTGCTGAGACCAGAAAAAGAGTCCCCCTTGGATTCAACGACTCAGTGACCTCGGTGTGCTACAGGAGGTAGCGTGGGGGCAGATGGTAGACTGCTAGTGTGAGGACTGCAACTGAGGCAGAAAAGAAAGATTGGGAGCTCTGGTTATTGTTCGCTCTTCCTTCCTCCCTTTGCTATTCCCGCTTGAGAGGGTGTTCTGTCGCTTACAGAACACATACACATACACAACGTAAAAAATAGGTATACACATATTGCAGGTTTGTAGCAACATCTTCTTACTGGCGGGGGAGGCATGATTTTCTTATAGATGTGGACCACTGGGGTGCCAAGCTGCCTGCAAAGATCAGTGAAAGCCGAGGAGAAATGACGCTCTGGGAGAATTAGACAATGTCAGGGGATGGCGATGCCTCCAGATGGCCTGCCACTGCCATCACACCAGCGGCAGCAGGGAGGCGCAGCCCAGGCTGCACACTCCTGGAGCCTGCAGGAGCTCCCCGGGTGCTGTGGCAGCTGCTCAGACTGTAGCTGTAGATCCCAACCTTCTGCTCCAGGAGCAGGGAGGAGGCCCCCCGAACCCCAACTCATGCAGCCGCAGCCACCCAAACTGTGGCTGCAGACTCAGGCATCCCTGCATTCTTGGGGGCCCAGGAAGGCCCCTCTGCCCTCATAGGCTTGGAACCATCTGCTTCTGCTACCTGGCTTCTCCCTGCTCTCGGCACCCACTTTGAGGTGCTGCCAGGGCTGCATGCTCCAGAAAGCAGGAGCTGGGGACAAGCAGGAGCCCCACCCCTTCTGAGTTCGTGGGGGTGGGAGCTCCCCAGGTGCAGCTGCCCCCCAACTCACCAGGCGCAGGCCCTAGGTGTCTCTGCAGTCTGTACCCCTTCAGGGGCCCAGCAAGGCCTTCCTGTACCTCCCCTCTGTCCCCACAGGCTCGGGGGTGTCTGCTCCCACTACCAGGCTGATCTTCGCTCCTGGCACCCACTCCAGTCTCAGAGCAGGGTTGGGGCTGAGCCTGGGCACTGTCACAGCTCAGCTGGGTGTGCAAACACCCTGGGAAGTGCTGACATACCAGCCCCCTGCCACCTTGGCCCCCTCTGGAATTTGGGCACTGATAAGCATGAGGGGAAGCTGAAGGGGTGCTGAGGGGGCTCAGTGCCAGCCTGCAGGTGCCCCTTAGTCCAAGCAACCTGGGCACCGTAGATAGCTGTGGGAGGCAGGCAGGATCCTGGGTAGAAGTGGACAGGTCCCCATAAGATCCCACCTTCAGGCAGGGACCTAAAGGCTAGGGGCTGGGCTGCCAGTCCTGCAGACCAGAGTGGAGACTTATGATGCTTTTTCTGGGCCCAGCCATGGTCCTCCACAGACCAATCAGCACATACTTCCTCCCCTCTGAGGTCCATAAAAGCCCTGGGCTCAGCCAGAACAGGGCCAAGGATGGAGAGATGACAGGATGACCAGCTGCAGAGAGGAGTTACCCTCTCCAGGGGCTGCTTCTCTGCTGAAAGCTGAACACTCAATGGGACAGTCTGCCTACAGGGAGGAGCTACCTACATGGGTCTCCTCTGAGCTGT